TATATATATATATATATATATATATATATATATATATATCATATCTATGTTGCGCCATTCTTTACATTTAAGATGTATGACGTTAAGGTTCAAACAGATGGCGCAACTTACATTGTTTTGTTACCTACATTGTTTTATTCTTGTCAAAATAATAGTGTATAGCAATATAGAATTGGTAATTAATTTGAATATATGAATTAGAAGAATTAATACAATTTTTTAAATTTAGAATTAAATTAACAAAAATTTATAGAATTAAATTTGTTACTATTATTGCTATGAGAAAAGACAAACTTAGATTGGGTTACTAAATAAGGACAAAACAAAGGACATAATAATAAATGATTTTGTGCTTCGATCAATTTGCATTTAAACAATTGACAAGATGCTAAAAATGTTTGAAGATCACTATCAACTATCGAAATTTTTATGCCTATTAAAAGGACCATGAAGATCCAGAAGTAATTGTAGAGTATTTATCGATATTATGAATTGATCAATTTTTAGTCATTGATATATAAATATTTAAACAATTGATTTTAATTTTTTAAATATTATTAAATACATTATTTATTATTATATAGATGCCGTATGAGTAACCATGCATTCTTATAATATTATATTGTCAAAACATCTCGTAGCATAGAGTATATTTCGTCTTTTAAAGATCTTTAAGGACATAAACATTTAGTAGATGTTCAAAGAAAAACGTCCTTAGATCCTCCAAAGTATAAAATGTGCTGTATAAGATTATAATTTTTTTCCACCATATTTAATGATAATCAAACACAAATAATAAAAAAAAGTTAAAAAATAAATATTATCCGGTATAAATACATTATCTAAAAAACAGGGATAATGAATTATAAAATCAATATATGTATTAAAGTAGTAAACTACGTAAATTTAGTAGATTTAATAGCCATGCACTTTCATAAGATTTGTATCTTTAATAATATGTACATTGTCTAGTATATGTATGTATGTATGTAGATACGTGTGTGTGTGTGTGTGTGTGTGTGTGTGTGTGTGTGTAATATAATTGGATACATTAATATAATCCGACATACTTAATTATATTTTTAAGATTCATTAAGAATACTTCCGACTTTTTGAAACAATTGTTAAACTGTACAATTTATTAGTAAAAGACAGTAAAAGACAAAATATACCTTTCAAGATTATAATTGTGTAACAATATGTGATCATAAAACATAAATCATTCGGAAAATATTATTATATTTATTAATATTTGTATGACTATATTATAGACAATTGATACATTCACAATACAATTAAAAGTTGGCTTTGTACATATGTACAAAGTATGGATAATATATACATGTAAAACATGATGATGATGTAACAAAAGACTTTTCGAATGGACAAAAAAAGAAGAGAAACAGAAAAAGGGAAAAGAAATGAGAGGATTGTATTTTATGAAAAATATTTATTGAAATATATATATAACGATTAAACTGATCTATATACTTTCTTATATAAAATAGTTGAATAATATATAGATAATAAGTGAATAATAATAATAAGTGAATAATATATAGATAATAAGTGAATAATAGTAATAATAAGTGAATAATATATAGAAATCTAAAATTTCCTTAAATTATTATAAATTTTGTCAAACAAAAAGATGTATAAATTATTTAATCTATAAATCAACTTAGTAACAATTAATATACAATTAATTATAATATCATTATATTAATAATAATATTTATTAATAGTATTAATAATATACAATCAAAATAGAAAAAAATTAGAAACTTTATTTAGAATTAAATGAAAAATAAATAAATTCTCTTAAAATCTTTATTTTTTTATTATTTTCTATTAATTTTAATTATATTAGAATTTTTGTAAAATTATTAATAATTATTTAAAAATTCTGTGAAAAACAACATTATAATTATAATATAATCGTTCAATTTTTTTAATACACTGCATATATTTTTATTATAATATCTATTGAAATTTTTTATTAATACACATCTTAATTAAACTTCATAAATCTGCAAAGAAGTATACTAGTAGAAGTATGTCTTAAAGATTCCAAATTTAGTTGTTGAGCATTTTCAGTACGACGGATGATTACATTTTACTCTATCCATTTTGACCCATCTGTTAAATGTCCAATCGTCGTTTGTTTTATTTTTCTTTCCTGCCGATGATGCCTGAAATACATCACATATATAATGCTTTATATATATTAAGAAAAAAATAGTAAGAGGGAATATAATAATAAGAAGTAAATAAACAAATAATGTATATTAGATCTTATAATATCCGATCAAAGACAAAATAAATTAGACAAAATAAACAAAATAAAGGTAGAAAAGTTTTATTATATAAACTACAAATGGTATTTAAACACATTGCGTAATTTTAATGTAACATTTAATGTAACATTAATTAAAGAGCTGTTTGATAAACATACTATAAATATAATGTTTAAATAAATTTTAAAAAAATCAAAAATGTATATTTTCACCCAGTGCAACATGAGCTCTGTGAAAGAAAAAGTGAAAAGAAAAAGAAAGAAAAATTTAAATAATAAAAATCAGATGTGAAAGAGATAAAAATGATAAAAATGACAGAAATAAGTTAATATTATTTGAAATAAAAAAAAGGAAAATTAGTAGCCGCGTTTGTTGGGAAACAGCACAGTAATCCGTACGTTTAGTTTTTGTTTTGATTATTTAGGAGTTAATTTTTTCTTTGCATAAATATCTTATTTTTAGATGTCGTATCTTATATCGTGTATTTAATTTTTATATCTAAGCAACCCTATTTCGGGACATTGACATATATATGTAACAGATGGCGCCGCAAATTTCCCCCCCGTCGTTCACGCGTGTCTAGCCCCATCCATTCCTGGTCGCGCCGCGCCGTCAACTACCGGAGATTCTCAGTACAAAACCACCCCTGGAGTTGGTGTTGTCGCGGTGAGCGATACGCTGATGTTTTCGGCGTCTCTGATTACCACCTTTGAGACCATCCACAATGACTTTGTTAAGAAATTTTATTTGGCGGTGTAACTTTCAACGGTGAAGCTATTTCTTTAATAGTTAAATTATCGCTTTAAAAGTGAATCAACGAGTAGTCGGCCACTTTTCTAATTTTGTTTTACCGCGTTTCGTTTTCAGCAAATCGACGACGCAAAACAAACACGTGGAGCCGCTATCTAAATTTTAATGTGTGCTAATGTTGGAAATGATAAAATTATTTTAGAAAACAACGAAGAAGATAAGCGAGATATAAGTACAAACTATAGTTCGACTAAGTTTAACTTTATTTCGGCAGTAAATGACAAATGTGAAAAATTATTTTTGAATTAAAAAATTCAATTATGGTAATTATGTGTTACTGTAATATTCAATCAAAATATTCAATGCAACATTTTTGTTTAATTAGAGGTTATAAAACTTTCAAATTTAATATAGAATGTGATAAAACTCTTTTAACATATTAGCATATGGAATTAAAAGTATAACGCAATTTAAGATTATTTTACATTGATTATATCATTTTTACAAAACGTATTAATAAAATAAATAACACTTTATTTGAAAAATACAATATTAAATACAATATCGAAAATATGCTTGTGACAATTCTTTTATTTGAACAAATGATTTATTTGAAGAAGCTGAATAATGCATTTGCAATTAAAGGAACAGCGTGAATATTAATTCGTCAATTTTAATCGTGTAATACTAAACAAATGTTGGAAGATTATGAGAGTTAATTAGGTACTTAGAGATTGCATCTTTTAATTAGGTACTTAGACATTGCTCGATCAAAATTCTTAGTATAATTTTCCTTAATTTAGTTTGAGAATTTAATTAGCAAAGTTAACATACGCGTTGTGCAACTAAATGAATAAGTGAAACTACGATTATCACGATATTGTTGTTCATACTTTATCCGCCATTTTCAATAATTTGGGCAAACAAAGATTTAATAAATAAAGTGTTGCACTAACATAATTTTGTGAGAAGAGTGAGAGAAGAGTGCAATTCTTTGATCTTGAGATTTCTCAAAATTCTCAAAATTTCTCAAATGTGAAGATTCAAAGTGAAGAAGAATGATGTGAAAAGACGAGTGCTCCAACGAATCGCACTGCAGTAGATCGTAGACAGTCGATATCCATTCTGATAGATCAGAATGAATTTTGTGAGAGGAAAGAGTATCTTCGATGGGCGATCGGTGCGGACGAAAGCCGCGGGATCTTTACCATGAGACTGGGGCTCCTGTTAGGATAATATTATCGCCATCGTGTTATGCATAGTTCCTACCCTTTGATCAACTTACTTGGGCCGGCCTAACAAGTAGTTGCCGTGTAGTCAGCAGAAGAGATTACGTACATCGATTCGAGGGCAAATAGCAGGTCGCTCTTGAAGAGACCTCGATTTGAATATGAAGCCGGAAGTTGCGAACGCGAGCGACGCGCTCCTCAATTGCAGCACGCAATTTACCTCACTCACGGATGTCGAGGCCTGCAGGCATTATTACCACGAATTCGAGTACGAACTGGTGCACAGCATCGTGGTGGTGGTGGTGCCATTGTTCTTCGGTATAATCGGCATTCTCGGCCTCGCCGGGAATTCGCTGGTGGTCGTGGTGGTGGCGGCGAATCCCGGAATGAGGTCGACCACGAACATCCTCATCATCAACCTTGCCGTAGCCGATCTGCTGTTCGTTATATTTTGTATACCGTTCACGGCCACGGACTTCGTGCTGCCGTACTGGCCCTTCGGTAATGTCTGGTGTAAGATCGTTCAGTATCTGATCATCGTCACCGCTTACGCGAGCGTATACACCCTGGTCCTCATGAGTCTCGACAGGTTGGTACCTCAAGATCATTGCCTACGATATCGAGCTTCGATGACAGAAACCACGTGGCAAACCACCCGAAATTAGATTTTGTTATAAAATAACTCACATAATAATAGGAACGTAATCACGCATAAAAGTTGAAATAAAACTATTACAGATATATATCCGCGTATAGACAATGCTTGTCAACAAGTACGGAATAAAGATACGAAATATACGAATTACACGAATAAAACGGAATGTTCGTCTTTGGCGGAATTTAAAATAAATTCAAAGATATTTCTTTCTTTGAGACAAGAACACAAAGCGTAAAAGTATTTGTGTATTTTGACTTTTTTTGAACAGTTCATTCGCAAATATTGCATAAAGACACTGAAGAAAACAACATTATAAAGATGACTAGAATCGTAACATATAATTTGTAATACGCTAGTGATTTTGTATATTTGAAACATACGAAATACAATAGTTATCAAAAGAAATGCTTTTACAAAAGTACGAACACAAAGTACGTACAAAGAATTTCTCAAATAATAGATTATTCTTTTAGGTGTAAAAACAGTAAAAATAACACAAAGAATGCCTCAGTCATATATATTTCTATAGCGTTTGTTCCAACTTTTTTTAAATGCAAACGCTTTAACAAATGGTTTGTTTTTTATTTCTTTTTTTAGACGTTTCATATTTTTCAATAAGAAAAAGTCATTCGTGTCGCGCTTTATGCATACAATGAATTAAATTCAATTTTGAAGTTTGAATATAAATGTGTGTGTGTGTGTGTGAGCGACTTATACAAATAAATTGAATTATCAATTTATTTATCAATAAAAATTATTTATCAATAAAAATTATAGAAAAATAGTATAAAATAATAATCAAGTTATGAAATATTTTTAATCTTTGAAAATTTTCTCTCAACTGACATTTTTATATTATAATGAAATTTTTATAATGAAATGTTTTTTAAAATGATTCTTCCATACTAACTACATTAAATATATCTGTCGTAAACTTTTATTATATATAATAAAGTTTTTGCTTTTATTAAAATTGTGCTAAAGTGAGATCTTCTAATTAATCATTCATTGACAATTGATTAAATTAATTAGATTAATTGAAAAATTATTTGAAGATTGATATGTTTTAAGACTATTTCAAAATTGTTTGATTCGTTTTATTTAACTGAAAGATAAAAATGAGATAAATTTTCACGTGGTGGTGAATATGTGATAATAAGCGTGATAAGAAAAGAAATTATATTACATTGCCTTTCGCGCGTGCAATCGTTTCCTTATATCCATTATCCTTTATCCTCGAATTTTCTTGTTATCTTTAGCCCAGGACGCTCGCTTTCAACATGAAGCCTCTCCCGTAGCTTTGTAAAACGCCTCGGGCGTTTTCGTTTGACATTTGATTCATTGTTACGCTTTGAATCGCGATGCATACGGTTTACGCGGAGTACGCGAGATATATTCCGTTTGATACATTCATCTCAGGCAATTTGGACGTAGCATTTGGACGTAGCAATTTCACCGACATAGACTATCGTAGACATTCCTGTCTCGCCTAACTCCAATTTGCCATTTACCGGTAATAAATTTCATCTAGCGAGTCATACGTTACGACATACTTGTACATTCGTTATTTTACAAACTCGGTTAAATTAACGACTTCAATTTTCATTATTTAATCTCCGGTCGTAGTCTCCCGTGCGGCTCTGCGAGAGATACCGTCATACGAGCCGCTGACGTTATTTGTGATAAAATGTTATCTCGTTCGCGAAATCAAACTACCGCGTTGTTAATCCCATTAGTCCTGTTTTGATGAATAATGTATAATACTCATTGAATAATGATGAGGGATTTATGATTAGCTTGAGAAATATACGCTTGGTATACCGTTTAAACGAGATCGAATAAAAATAACACAAATGTTTTGAAATTTTAATAAAATTTTAATAAATTTTATTAAAATTCTCAGTTTTCACCCGTTTAGATGTTCGTTATGTCCTCGAACTGTCGTCTTGTTCGTCGACATCAAATTAAAAATTCACGTGCAAGCAGTCAATCGATCTTCCTCGATCGACTTCTGCATTCTACTTTCAGTTAGAACGCGGCTAAACTATGTCGCAAAAAGCATTTTTCAGTTTTCTTTCTTTAACTTTTTTTTTTTTTTTTTACGTCGAATATGAAGGGAAAGGCGAGAGTTATCTTCAAGTTGATTTTTAAAGTGGTGCTCAAGGCAAAGATTAATCTTCGATGTAATTTGTAAATTTGAGTCACGGAGCGTTAAGCGCTACTTTTAAGTGAACTGATCCTCACTCTAAACTTTATCTTAGAGATTTAAAAAAACGAAGTGACGGAGAATGTTTTTAATATCGCGCGCCCTTTAAGTGTAACATGAGACATCGTCTTCTAGAAAAAAATTCTTTCATTAAAAATGGGGAGACTTTAACTTCAGACTTCGCTGCCGAATTAGGCCGATTCAAGCTCGCTTGATGACGAAGCTCGATCGAGAGTAAGTCGCATCAAAATAGGTAATTACTCGTAGGTATCTAGCGGTTGTCCATCCAATCGCCTCGATGTCATGGAGAACGGAAAATCACGCCATACAGGCGATTTGCGTCACATGGGTAGTAATCCTGGCGTTATCCACACCCGCGCTCGTGATTCACGGTGAGGTAAGCATACCGTGCTTGACATCCCGACACTCCAGCCCCCTTATGTATTCAATATCGTCGTTTTCTGATACATCGCGCATCCGTAGATTCGCTACGTGTTCCAGGAACACAACTACTCGGAAAATTTGACGGCTTGTCGGATTCTGGAGCAGTACGATTGGACCTCCTTCCAGATGTCGTTTTTTCTGACGAGCTACGTGTTGCCCCTGGTGCTGATATGCATTTTTTACATGTCCATGCTGGTGAAGCTGTGGCGTGGGGCGCGCATCAGTGCCGAGAGCCGGCGTGGAAGGAGACGCGTCACGAGACTCGTCTTCGTCGTCGTCGGTGTCTTCGCCGCCTGCTGGTGTCCTATACAGGTAAAAGGACCTGTCACCATAGAAGAAACGATATTTTCCAGTATCCTGACGTGTCCACGATGTCGTCCGCAACGTCACGTTGTAGGTGATACTGGTGACCAAGTCCCTGGAGGTGTTTCCGCTCACTACAGCGACGATAATGGTGCAGATAGCCAGTCACATCCTCGCTTACACCAATAGCTGCATTAACCCTTTCCTCTACGCCTTCCTGAGTGATAACTTCCGTAAAGCCTTCCGAAAGATCATTTATTGCAGGCCGCGGGCAGAGCCGAACAATCGGCTGGGACCAACGACAAGAACTACGAGAGCTGCCAGCACTGGCGATATTCTTTAGGTGAGGAACGACCTCTTTCCATTCATAACGACCGATAAGCTCTATTCTATCTTAAGATTTTATTGCAATCATAAACTTTGATTACTATGAATATTATGGACGTATTTTTTTTGCTAGATAGATTCTATATTCCTTTACTTTCAGCTTATTAAAACGTAATATTAATTTGTTATTCAAAGAGCATTTTAAAAAATTTCCTTTTCATCTTAATAAGTAATTTCCTTATTACCTGCCTTATTTGTCTTCTTTGTCTTTCAACGTTATTTTTACTTGTGTCTTATTTTTACCTTTTTTATCTTTAAAAGGGTTGGAGATTAAAAAAGATTAAAAAAAGGTCCGTCGACTTTTAAGCGAATAATAATAAAAAAAAAAAAGTTTAATGTGACGATTCGCATTAGATCGACATTACTAAGGGAAAAACGATATTAAATTTTCCATGAAGATTAATCGGTAGATCCTGATGGTGAGAATCAAGATTTAGGAGATCTTCAGGTGCAATATCACGTCGTCGTCGTTACTTTCGCTCTTCCCTTTCCCAAAACGATATAAATTTCTTCGGAAGATGACGAGCGGAATCGTGCCGGCACTTAACAACGTTACTCGACGTTACTCGATTTATTTACGGCTACGAGTTTGGCTCAACTCGGTTGGACTAGCTTGCGAGCACGTAACAAAATTTTCCTCTTTTCCCACTGTTCGCCTCTTCTCTCCTACTCTCGTCCCGTGGGCTCAGCGTGGTGTATTGCCATTAACAACGGTGACGTTTTCACAGCCAGTTTACCCTCGCTGCCATTTTCGTCTGTCCCATCTATCGCGCGGACATCAGAAAAAAAGGGCAAAACCGGGGAGAAGAGCGAGTGAGTGAGTATGACGGCAAATGCAATCTTGTAGCGCAAGACATTGCCATTAATGTTAAGTAAAAAAACGTTGCGAGCAAACGCAGAGTGGAACGGAAAATTTTCATTTCAAGCATGTTTCTTACGTCGCGTGAAATATTCCGCGAAGTATTCGGGCGAAAAGAAGCAAAATGGTTTAGTTGAGCTTAATAGGGACTAAAATTTCTCATATATAATGCATCGTATGAAAGACCGAGATTAAATGTAGAAACACAAGCTGCTATGTAAAAGTATATAAATATACATAAAATAATATCCTTGTCCTTCTTGTCTTACACAACTTTAATTATGTAACGTTATAAGAAACAATTTTAGATATTTTACAAATATTTTAGTTCTGTTTCTTCGTTAACTGACTGATTTATTTAATTGACTAATTTATTATCATTACGCTAAGGATGACTTTATAAAATATCGAAACGTTTACGATTTTCGGACAATTATGATTATGTTTTAATAATTGAAAAATAAGCACGATTATCCTGGCTTATTAGTTCATTGTTATCTATTAATTTAATTTTTTACTTTTTGATTTTACCGTTGGCATTTTTTTATTAATTTAGTTGTAACAACACTTGATAAATAAAATTTATCTTCAGTAATGCAATAATGTTTTTTATGCGAAAGAGAATTACAGAAAAATTATTAATCTTCAGACTTTTTTTTGTTTTAATCAGGAATAATGTTAACATAATACAATCAAAGTATATATTTTTATTTATTAATTCCATCTTATATTTTTATCCTATGCTTTCTTTGCACTTTACAGACAATATTTTTTTATGTATAAAATCTCTTCAGTTTTATAAATAAAAAAAAAAAAAAATTGGCGAATACAATATGTCATGGCAATAAATTTTGCTTGCTTTTTGTCATCAACTTGCATCGAAGATTTTCTTCATCGGGAAACTGAATCGCAACATATCATGCGAACAAACAAATCTTAATCAGATCGATGCCTTTATCGGAGATTGACGATTGGACAGAAATTCAATTAACCTTCTTTGTTATCGGCGATACGTTGTTTCTCGGTTTGCTCTTTGAGCCTTTATCGCGACGGTCACCTTTTATTCGCCTCTTCCACCGTATATCAGATAAACGAAAAAATTATCAGTCTCGCACATTCAATACGTTGCATTCACTGCACGAGTGTAATGACGATGGTCCTTTGAGATTCGCGCGTGATATTAATTAGAATTAACCCGCTGCAATATTTACGCTGTAACGGCTGGGATTTGAGCATATTTCGTTTGAACTGGTTCCGGGATTATCAATACCGATTGAAATTATCAAGCTTCGCTTTGCGGTCCGTTAAACAAACAGGCCGGCTAAGGTAGGTTTAATCTGAAACGATCCGTATCAACCCCCTTTGCGTAAATAAAGGAGTGCTAATAACGCGCTATTAATATGAATGAATGAATGAATTTTCCTGACAATCTAATAATTAGGTAAATAGAGTATTAGTAAAAAAAATTAATTTTTCAAATTAAATTAATTTTTAATAAATAATTAAATGATTTAAATTATTAAATAATTTTATGATAATTATTAGATGAGTGATACATACAATTAAATAATTAATTTGAGCTCCAAGTAATTCCGAAGACATGTCGTTGGTTTGGTTAATGCACAATACTAGTCACAATTATGTACATATACAGATATAATACAACTGGGGATTATGTCATACAAGCGTGCTTGTTCCAAGCTGTTTGACTGTGCAGTCAGACGAAAACGATATTTTACGGACGAGACGCTTAGAATAGGATGAGGCGAGTTGGTCGAATCGACGACGCTTCGAGAACGACGGCGCTTGGACGCTCGTAAAAATGGCCGCACGCTGACTAGTGCAAACAAATCTTAATCAAGTAGATGTATTCCATGAGCAACGAGGTGGTAATCCGATATCCTCGTCATTCCGATTCGATCTCGACTAAGCTCTGCGTGATATTAATGGCTCTATTTACGTGTCAATACTAGCGATTTACCGTCGATACGGAGTCATCTAAACGATTCCACGTAGAATTAGGATTGGACCATGTTGTGTGGTGACTATAAGAGTTGACCTTCTCTTATTTAATCAATCCTGATAAAAAGAGATATGTTTTAAATACACCGCGGATACACAATTTTTCTATTCTATTGGCCATTTTTATCACAAATTTTGTCGCCTATATAAATAAAGACAATTCTTTAATGATGATTTTTATCTGCGTATCTGTAAAATAATAATTTTGCTCTTTCTGCTTTTGAAAATTTGATATTCCAACTCTGATATTTTAAAACTACCTACCACATTATTATCACATTATTATCCGCTATAATTATACTCTTCCATGAGAGACATGGCAGAAAAATAACGTCGGTATTCTCGTACAATTTAAAATCTGGTTGCATTAAAAATGAACGTGAATCCAAGTTTAGTAATACAGGGCGATAGTTTTTCTAACTTTGCCTCGGCAACGTTGTCTTCATAGTGTTTGTGTAATTAACATTTGAGAAGCTTCCAAAGAAGTATCGATTGTTTCGATACACGTAGGAAAAACTGGTTGTAGAATGATGTAATTCAAAAATGTACCAAAAAAAGTTGTCGTCGCCGTCGCCGCTGTGATAAATGGGAATTTTTTGGCAAGGATTTCGAAATATATATTATACAGTTGACATTTTCATAAATTGGTAAGCAGGATATCTATCAAAAGAATCGCTTCGCCGAGTCTTTATCTCTATAAACATAACAAAGTAAGAATGAATTGGAGTCTTGACAAATATTCGAGATGAAAAACGGAATAAATTTTTATTATTAAAATTCCATGGAAAGTAGAAACAGCAAAGATAATTCGCGAATATTTATTACGTGAATATTTTAATATTACACGAGCGATATTCAGCAGATTAATATCGAGGAAATAAATTCGAAATGATTTTAACTGCATTCTGATTTTTAATTTATCATAATCTCGTGTTAGGCTACATCTAGAGAGTTTCATAATTGAATCGATTAGGTAAACTTATCTTATTGAGCAGATTTATTTTATTTTGATTTTAATGTTAAGTATTCTTTTTTAAGTTTTTACACTAATATATATATATATATATTAACATTATTATTATACATTATTATTATTA